TATAGTATACCTTATTATATGAGTAAATCAGTGATGATTGATTGAAAATGAGGTTTTTTTAAAATTTTTTTCTACGTTTTTTGATAGTGAATATCTTCTAAACTAAACGCGCTATAATCCAACGAAATGCAGATTATGAAAGATTGGAGAATTCTCTATTAGACTATAATTTAAAAGAATTAAATATTGTAGGGTAAAAGGGCGCAAAATGTGACTAAAAGTGCTAAAAATTGAAATTTCACTTTTATCGCTACCCTCGTACTAACTTTGTACGGTGCCCTGAACACGAGTCACTTCTACCGCTAGCTTCGTAAGGTGCTCTGAATCGAGTCACTTCAACCGCTAATTTTATACGGTGCCCTGAACACGAGTCACTTCTACCGCTACCCTCGTACGGTGCCCTGAATCAAGTCACTTCTACCGAAAAAATTGAAATTTTTCAATTTTTGACGAATATCTTTTAAACTAAAAGTGCTAGAATCCAACGAATTGCAGATTATGAAAGATTACAAAATTCTCTATTAGACTATAGTATAAAATAATTAAATATTATAGGGTAAAAGGTCGAAAAATGTGATTAAAAGTGCTAAAAATTGCAATTTTTCAAATTTTGATTTTTCTTAAATTGCGAATATCTCGTAAACTAAAAGAGATACAGAGCAGCAGATTGAAAATTCTTAATCTTCGTGAAATTACTACGAATTTAATTCTTTATTTTGCATTTAACTTCTCCTCAATCAGCAAATTTATTTTATATTTTTTTATCCTTTTTTTTTAATTCAATGTTTTGCTTTTTCATCACCCGAATTACATCCTTCCGTTTTTCCCTAAGTATATTTTTACAACATTCGCTTGTTGTCATGCAGATGACGCATTAGCATCCACCGAAAGCGAATTGCTGAGCGCGCAACCCATAAAACACGAAATTGGTGCGCTTGTGCTTTGTGGGTGGCCGAGATACGCGCGCCATCTTCGCAACTCTCGCAACTTTTGCCAAGGCCACCGACCGTCATTATTACACCCGCAGCCATTTTCTACCCATACCCACACAAACAACCAAAAATAAAAATAAAAATCATAATAATAAAAAAGTATTTTTGCTACTTCTCTCTCCCTCTCTCTCTCTGTTTGCAAAATTGTGATTATCTTTAGGCGCTGTTTCTAGCACGCATTAAATGTCACAGTAAATGTCATGCCTTGTCATGCGACACGCTGTGTAATATCAAAATATTCGAAAAACATCTCAATCACGATTAGACTCGTTACAATTGACGTGACTTTATTACGCACTTCTTTAATATTTAATTCGGTGACCTTGGCGCTTGTTTGCAGCTTCTTAACTGGTTGCCACTGGGAAAAAACCGATTCATAAACTTGTTTATCACAACAACTCACAAAATAATTAATTATAATTTATATTAATTAATGTTTTCTTTGTTACAGGTGAGTTTCTTTATTATCTCCGTCAATATATTGATTAAAATGTGTAAGTACACAAAAATTTCATCGAAAAATTAGGTAGAAGTGTGAAAAACCGGTTATTTTTAAATACCGGTATTTTTTCATTATATATTTTTTTAAATCACATTTTTTCTAATATTTTGATTTAAAAAATAACCGGTATATAGAAATACCGGTATTAAAACCGGTATACCGGTTATTTTTTAATACCGGTTTTATTTTCAATATCGGTATTTTCAAATTTTATATTGCTTCCAATATTTGGATTGTAAAAATAACCGGTACACCGAAATACCGGTATTAAAACCGATATACCGGTATTTTTACTTCCAAACATCGGTATTTACTTAAACCCACAAAAATCATATGAAAAACATTCTGTTGTTAGTTTAAATTATTTTCCATCAACATAACCTCACTTATCCACAATATAATACCCCTAGTCGTGTTTTAAACAACTTGTTGTTGTTTACATGTTAACTCCAGACGTGCAGTTCGCCTTGGACTAAGTCAAGTCAAGCGCCGAGAATGCATTCATTAATGCGCGCTGACCATCTCTCCGAACATGTTACACAAATAAACACACACTGCAACAGTGTAGTTATGATCATATTATGATTAATAGCGCCATCTGGTTGTGAATAGTCGCTGACGATTGCTGTTACGAAATGAATAGTGACATGCGTGTACATACGCTGCTCGCCCGGGGGAAAAAAATGAAGCACAAGCGAGAGTTGAGTTGAGCATTGCGTTCGGGTTTGGAAAGGCCGCGGCGGTCGTTAGCGGGTCAGCGGTCGCCTGCGGGCCGCCCCGGCGAAAACGGGGCCGCACGTCTCCACGATTCACACTCGCTCGATTTGATGACCTACTAACGAATTAAACAACGCACGCGCGTGTGCACACACAATCAATTCACACATGGACTCATTTAGATTATTTACAATCAAAAATATTACTTCATTCACTTATGTGCTATTAAAATGGCGGAAAAGGGTGATTTTGAGTGTTTTTAATGTCACCCTGTATGTTTTTCGATTTTTTTAAAAAGATTTCTTCATTTTTTGGTTCACATTTTATTTTGAAGCTATTAAAATGGCGGCAAATATCATTAAACAGTGTTTTTCGCGACACCCCGTATATTTTACAACGTTTTTACAAATTTCTCCACTTTTTCAGCTATTAAAATGGCGGAAACTGACATAAATCGCTGTTTTTGTAATTTTTTTTTAACTTTTTCTACAAAATTCACTTCCAAAGCTATTAAAATGGCGGAAATATTAAATTTTATTGTCCCCCTGACACACTGTATGTTTCACACGTATTTATTCCACGGATTCTTTGTGTTTTTATGCGCCTGCTTCGTTTTTCTTCTCCTTTTCGTTTTCATGAATGTTTTTCTCACGAACGCAGCGAATGGCGGTTCAAGTGCAAACAAAGTGCAAGAGCGCGCCCGAAGAACAAGCACATCACTCTCCATGCGGCGCAATGTGCAATGTGCAACGTACTTGCTTGGAATATATGCACGTGGATAAATAGACGTGTGCTTCGCGTACGTCAACACGAATGAAAGCAACGCGCGCGCAACGCCACAATGCGCATTCACATTCACATTCAACATTTACATTCGCAAAGTTCAAGCATCGCATAGCGTAAACACACACTGAACGAGTGGAGAGAAAAAATGAGAGAAAAATGCGTTCGAAAATAAACTAAAACACATTGTAGGCTTATTTTAATATTGTGTGTGTGTAACGGAAGTGCATCGTTTTTAACTCACGTGCGCACTGCGCATGCAATTTGACTTACGAGAGGAGTAAAGTTAAGGCAAGTCGTGACATATATTTAGATTTTACTTGTAGATGCGGCGTGATGGGAAAAATGAAACTTAAGGCGCGATAATTTATAATGCGCTTTGATTTTTTGGTATTGCTGCTTTGATGCTTTGCCAATTTGGTTTATAGGTGTGGATATTTGTCATTTGCTGTCAAAATTAGCGATATTTGAGCGGAAATTAGATTTTTTCGGTGGAAAAATTATTTTTGACTTAAAATTAATTAATTTAACATATTATGCAAGATACCAACCTACTAACGCCATCTGTTGGGCCATAGTCTATAATTTTAAGTTATGCAACTCAATATGCAGCATATAATCCCTACTAATATTATAAATGCGAATGTCCTGATGTTTGTTACACATTCACGCAAAAACTACTTAACCGATCATCGTGAAAATTTGTACACATATTCTTAGTGGTCCCCGAATGGTTATAGGCTACTTTTTATTTAATAAAAATAATTATTTTTTTAAATAAAATAAAGAAATTGTTTAGCCAATAATACCTCTGCATCTGGCTATTTGACTACTTTAACGCCATCTAGCATTCCAGCAATGAAGCTCAAACCTAAGTACTATAGTACCATCACACTGTATTATCACACTGTATTACCGACAGCTACGTCAACATCAAATCCAATTGACTAATCTATGGAGACTATACACTATACTTCCATAGACTATACTTTCAGCCATTTTAAACTTCCCGCCATTCAACTTCATTGTTACTTCTTCTGTGACTACAGACGCGCATGGAAGCAACTTCATTATTTTAGATATTCGCGAGCGAAGCCGCGGGTTAAAGCTAGTAGTCTATTAGAAATAGATTTTAAAACAAAAATTGTAGAAATTTGAAGAAATACTTGTAAAACTTACAATTTTACACTAAAAATCAAGTTTTATGATATTGCCCGCCATTTTAATAGCTCAGAAATTAATCTCATTATTCCAGATATATTACCCAAACACCCTCTATTGTTTTTTGTAATTTAAGCTGAATATTTCAACGAAATTTAATTTTTTTCTTTCACAAAAAATATTCCTTGACTTTAGGAGTCCTAAATTAATTAATTCAACAAATTAACAATTCACAACGTCTTCTCCTCTTACTAAACTTGATCCCTTTGGGCATTACATCAACAAGGTCAAACTTCGCATCGGAAACAAAAAACGTTTCGTTTTTGTGTCTTATCAACGTCTTAAAACAGACATTTTTCGAATGTAAATATGTGCGTTCCCATTATCATTATCTTTATCGCTCGTTTTTTGTTGGTGTGTGTGTGCGCGCGCGCCAGGAACTTCTAAGCCGTGTGTGCGAGTATTTCGTGAAGCCGAAACTGGGTTATCGCCGGTGACCCGTTGCCCGTCCGGAGACAGTCGCGCGCGCGGCGTGCCCGCTTATCACCAAACACTCACTACACCGCGATAGCGTCGCTTGATGTACAATGTTAACAGCACACAATATTCCCAGTGATAAGACACACAATACAACTGCATAACTAGCCAACTACTGTTATGCATCGCGACATGAATTCAAAATTTTTGAATTTTTTTTTGTGATTTTTGAATGTTTTGCAACATTTTATGGATTTTTGTGTCTTGCGGGTCACCGCAGCCGTTATGCAATGCGTTATTCTCGTGCACGTCTGTATTTTTAGCCTCAATGGCATTACCCGAAAATAAAAGATCAGCTGAACGAGCCGTTGGCGACATGTGTTGGCTTATATTTACGTTTTACATTCGCACGCCGGCTATAATCAGGAATGACAATAAGAATACGACAAGAAAACATTATTTTAGGTATATGTGACACTAACGCCGTCTATTGGGCATTAGTTTACAAAATTAACTTATGCAACCCATTTTACACGCTTATAAATACATTTAAACTTAAAAAAATGTAGAAATCTGTAAAAATTCTGGTAAAACTTACAATTTCTCACTAAAAACAACGTTTTATAATATTTTCCGCCATTTTAATAGCACAGAAATTAATCTAACCTAAAATTTTATTATTTTTTTACAGAAAACTTATTATTCTAACGCCATCTATCTCTTTAATAGCTTTTAAGTTACCTTATGCAACCCAATATACACCTTTGATATTTTTGAAAGTCTTAGCTGCCAATTGACACCGATTTCACACACGGTAGCCGCGAGAGTGATCGTCGCGTGTTCGTTTTCACATCAAATAAGTATTTGATGAAGAAATTGCGCATAAATTACTCGGCGTCTTCTAATTAATCAGCATGATGCTGCGGATTTTCAGTTTTCATTCAAAATGGCCGCCGTTAGTCATCAAATTAAATAATTCTGCTGCTGTGTAGTAAGATTAGAAAGTGACACACTAAAAACCAATGATTTAGCGATTGCGACGCGTCTGTTAATGCCAGTAAATGCTAATAGCAATAATTGCGCAGCTTCTGGAAATCAACAACAAACAATAAGTTATATAATCATATATTTTTTGTGTGCGTGGACAGACTGTATGTATTTACGAACGCATTCGGTTTGTTCGTTCGCCGAGTGTCTGAGCCGTTGTGTGGTTGTGAGTGGCTGGCAGAAGGTCAAATTGTTTAGATTTTACGACGCGCCGGCCAACGAAGCAACTGGTGCACTGCACTGCCAACGCATCCAACAACTCTCGCGAATTGAAACAAGAATCAGTTGTCTATTTAGCAAAGCAAGAGGTTTTCATACAATACCCGGCCATTTTAATATTTTAACCTAAAAAATACTGTCAAATTAATTATTTGTGACCTTGGGAGTTGTATTGATTACTGACCTACGCCATTTTGTGTTGTATTTGAAGGTTATGATGATTTAATGTTTGTGTTTTTCTTTGCGTTGCATCTCGGCCCATTTCGCTTTGTTTTCCTTGCTGTTTGACAAGTTGGAGATCTTTTTAAATACTGGTATTGATACAATAACAGCGATAAAGTAATATTTCCATATCCATTGATTTCGGATGTAATATTTCCATGGGAATTGTATTAATTTCGCTGTAAATGTGTAGGGAAACTTCATCGGCACGCCGGAACTTATACGTACAGGGCCTCCGTATGACGATCGTGGCCTTCGCATAGCTTTACTCAATTCACCGGTGATCATTGCTTTGATATCGGCGATTTTTTGCTTCATTTCAGCCTGAAAACGTTTTTTAGTTTAAAATTTGAGGTTAAAATTAAAATTTTTACCTTTTTATCCTGTTCAGCCATCTTGTTTGTTGTTTGTATGACATTTGTGGTGTGATGTGTGTTGCCTATATGTGAATTCTTTCCCCGGCCGACTGTGTTTGTGATGATATTTGAAAAACGCTTTGAATTTGTGTTGCATTGTGCTGTGTGCACACCCACTCTGCTTTTCTAGTTTACGTTTTACGCGCCGTCACCGCTCGCGCTTCGCGTTGCGTTTTATAAATAGTCGCATGTCCTTGAGATGCAGACGCGCGCGGTGTGCGCGTGCGCGCGTTGCACGAACGTTGCACCAGCCGCCGCTGCTCTCGTCGGCGTTCGTCCTTCGTCGCGCATTCCCGAGCGGTGGGCGCTCGCGACTCACGCGAACCCTTTTTCAGTCTGCTCGGTGCGCCGCAAAGATTCACTCACTCACAACAACAAAAAAATTAGTTAGATATACAAATACAGAAATTAACCAACAGCAGTGTATTGTGTTGTGTGTTGTGTGTAGATCTCTGTAATCGTGTGTATACGATGTGATTACTCGTGACTAGTCGGCTGACATCGTTATGAGGATTATAGAGAGAAAACAAAAGTTGTTTATCGGTCGGCGTGCTGCGGGTAAAAACACCTAGAGTGTGTGCAACGCGAGTGAGAATTCATTGTCTTCATTAGTGTGTTGCAATTGCGATGCAGCGCCGCCGTACGTCAGTCGGGAGATGCGTCTGCCGTTGCTGCTCCATGTGCGTTCAATTTTTCACATTCATCATTTTTCACCACACCACACAAACGAGACATCCGACACTCGGAATATTCTAGAACAAAACAAAACACTAACGCTCTCTTCGTTTGTTTCAGATTGGCGACGACAAGAAAGCGTTTGATTGGACGAACATTCTGAGTGCTTTTGCTTTTTGGTATCAAGCATTACCAATCTTTGGAAAAGACTGTTATGTGAGTATACATAGAATAGAATTTAATTGATGAGGGTTCAAGATCATTACTACTAGATGTACAATTAAGTTGCACTCGTTGCGACACTCCACACAGTCAGTAATTAATAAGGATGTGGGTTGTTTATTAAAGATATACAATGTGTTCAAAGTCATTTGAAAAAATATTTCAAGGACTTTCCAATTGGGATTGAGTAGTAGAGTCACATTTTTGAGTACGTACACATATTTTCTATATTTAGTCGGTGCGTCCAGGTTCAGGGACGTTGTTCGCTGACGCGATGTTGGCCCAGACCTACCCTAACACCGAAAACCTCGAGCGCTTTCAACCGCGCGACACCATGCTCGCTCATACATTGATGAGGTCATTGTCTCATCGTGCATCTCACTTTTTCAAAATTATTTTTTTCTTCTTTAACATAACCCGGAAAATATTAGGGTAACTTTTAAATTTTGATGGGGAAATATTCCCCCTTAGTTTATGGTTCAATGGGTGGAATATTCAAAGGGGGATTTTTTATTTTTTTGAGGAAAAATCAAAAATGAAATTTTACGAAAAAAGTTTTGGTGGAGGCGCCGGTTATTCCGAAGTAGGTCGTCGGTTTCGGATGCGTTGGCGGATCGCTTCTGAGCTCTGTAACCAGCGGGGGTGGTCTGTGTGTGGGCGCCGGTGGGATGCTGCGTGCGAGGTCGCGCGTTCGGTGCGGGCGACCTACATTTCGCCGTCCCAGATACGCAGAGCGCCGAGGTCACAATCATCTCGTTGTTTCTCAAGGTGATTTCTACTCACCCCTTCATTTTTATCATCCCTCTACTCCAAAAACAACTAAAAATTAATATTTTGTAATAAATATACATTTCCAAGGTCTTTTTAATTAATTTTAAGGGTTGAGGGGTTAAAAATTAAATCTGGGTCGTAGCCTTCAGAGGTCATGAGCTGCTGCACCTAAAGGTAGAAGGGGATTTGTATCTCAGAAAGCAATCCATCCACATCTAAATTCTACACTTATTCTAAATAAAGCCGTTGGGTTGATATTGGTGAGGGTTGTAGAATCGCGCAGGGGCGGTTGAAAGAGATAGCGGAGAGGTGGCTCGGTGGGTCGATAATGCCGGCCAGACTGTGCGGCTGAATGGGGCCACCCTTACACCCGTACAGCGCGGCGTGTTTCATTGATTTCTACTTGTCGCAGATAGGGGTTGTGTAGCAAATTGTATCACAAGGCCCTCTTCTCTATTCTATTCTATTCATCAACATAGCGAATATCATAAATGTTTTTAAAGGTCTTTTTGGTATTTGCTACCAATATCAACCCTCGTGAATGGCGCCGTCAGGGCGACTGCGCCATCAATGTGAATCCAGGTCATTTCCAACCCTATATGGAAATGAATGGCAACGTTGCATGTTGCACCCTATAGGTTATTCATAACGCTTCGCATGCTTATGAAAATTATATGCACTTATATACAGAGTGTTTTTGTCGTAATGAAATTATGGCGTCTAGCCGACGTTCCTTCCACCACTCCACTCTCGGTGCTGCTTTTCGGCGGCTGTGGGCGATCGATACTACCAGACACAACACTCACACAAACACGCGCTCTCCCTCGACGTGTCTAGCAGCAGTCACATCAAATAATAGCGCCTGGGAATGCAGGGGATGATATTTACTCCTACTACTTTTACTAGGAAGATAACTAGAAGGGTTTGAGTTGTGGAATTATGAGAATTGTAGAATATTTGAATACCAACCTGTGGAAAGGGTTTTTTAAGGGTGCGGGGGGTGTTAATATAGTTGGTGGAACGTCTGGCGGCGGTCGAAAGTTCATTACCATCGGCTAGGACCAAGGCCACCCCCCGGGGAGTTCATCACACCAGACGCATCGCCAGACGCACAAAAAACCTATGCGTGTGATTCAACTCTTGTTGGGGTTGTGGGAAGAAGTGGGGGGGGGGTGGAAATTTAATTTGTGCAGGAAATAAATTTTTTTATGAAGTCTAGACTACTTGGTCCTGACTCAAACGTCCTTGACCTTTTTATTTATATTTTAAATTTTTTTATGGTTGTGTGTTTGTTGCAGATTTGTGATATAGTGCAGAATATCTCCAGAATGCCCGCGTGATGCCTCGACCCTCACGGTGCGCGAGTGCCGCCCCCTGTGACACCCTGCAACTGTGTGTATAGTGTACCCCAGAGACATTAATCTCTCCTCACCCGAAAATGGAGTTGAAACATGATTTACTCTACGGCGAGGAGCGCTTGGTGGTGAAGACGGAGCCACGCCTCCATTCGCCGACCAGTAATGGTGCGCCGCCCCCGGCGACAAATGGCGTCGCCGGATCCAATGGTTTCGCGCTGAATGGCGGGCCGTTCAGCGGGTTGGGTAAAAGGCCGCGCACCGACGAATGGCCACCGACGAGTGGTGGCGGGCAGGCGACGCCCGGGGGCGGTGGGAGTGCGCCGCTTACGCCTTCGCCGGGACCGCCTTCGCATTCGTACACGGTCGCTAGTAATGGTTACTCCTCGCCCATGTCCTCAGGCAGCTATGACCCGTATAGTCCTAATGGTAAAATAGGTAAGTTTTATTTTTTATTTCCTAAAATTTTATTTTTTTTTTATTGTGTTAAGTATGACAACCACGCACGTTGCTCATTTGTTTTGCGTGGTGCGTGCAGAGGAAATATTCTAATGCAATAAGCGCATAGCGTTGCACGCCGCGCAGTTATCGATTACGCGCACACGGCGCGCCCGCACATGACTGAATGACACGCTCATTACCATGCCAGGATGCGCGAGGAGCGCATGGGAAATGTGCTGAAGGGTTAATAACCTGACACATTGAAATATTTATGCGTGGAATTTTCATTCCGGCTACCACCGAAGTCGTGTGGCTGTAGATGCATAATATATGCGACGTATGTTTGGTTGCATACGATAAATATTAATATTTCAATGTTTGTTTATCGAGGTTTTGCGCTTCGGTGTTACTTTGGGTGATAACATCCATTCATATCCATCCGGTGCGCAAGTTTTTATCAATAGTTCATGAAAACATGTTAAATGCCATAAGGAGACGGGGCAAAAACAGTTTTTGTAGAAAAAAGGGAATATTAGGTTGCATATGTTGGATATAAATTATTTTATTGATAAATTATTAGTTAGTTTTTATTATAAAACGGAAATTAGTTTTAAAAAGCTTAAATTCACGCGTTTTTATTGATTTTATGAAAGGCCAATGTTAATGTCCATAAGGAGGCGGGGCATAACGTTTTTCAGTAGAAAAAAGTGTATATTATGTTGCATACGCTTTGTATAAGTACTTTTATGGATAAATTTCATTCATAGTTGCTTTTAAAACTCAAAATCCACGCGTTTTCAACATTTTTAATTAAATCCTATGTTAAATCCCATAAGGAGGCGGAGCATAATATTTTTCAGTATAAAAACTGTGTATTAGGTTGCATTCTTTACATATAAATAATTTTACGGCTTCATTTTTGTGTTTTTCGATAAATTTAGGCTGAAATTACTTTTAAAAATTCAAAATCCAAACGTTTTTATCAATTTTCATGAAAACCCATGTTAAATCCCATAAGGAGGCGGAGCATAATTTATTCCACTATAAATCCATGTATATTAATTTGCATACGTTAAATTCTCCATATTTATTCTCATATTCATCGATAAATTTCATTCATAACCATTTTTATTTACATTTTCATATAAATTACATCTAAAAACTTCTAAATCCCCTGACCTAAGTTAATATTTAGTGATTCTACGCCGTTAGAATCACTTTTTATGGAAACCAATGTAATCGGCCATAAGGAGGCGGGGCCTCCAACTCATGAATCGTCTCCGTGTGCATTCGTATCCGCGGCGAGTCAATGTTATAAATAGAAATAGAAATAGATGCTTCGGGAGCATGCACAAAATCTGTGCGCGTCGAATACCCACACACACACCAGTATTAAATGTGTGCGACAGGAGCAGCAACTCAGCAGCCGCACGGGAGCAGCAGACGTATTATAAATAAATAATCGCGGGCAGTGTGTGTGCAGGCCGGCTGCGCACACTACACTCACACACACACACACATCTATACACAACATTATACCAGTAAACGAGCGCGGTTGCGACAGCCTTGAACTTGAGTTTATCAACCGACCGACCGACACAACACACACATGTGTGCGTATGTATAATATATACGTTTTGCCAAACTCTCCGGCCGGCGTTTTAAAAATGCCGCAAATGTTTTGCCAACGTGCATGACTACGCCAATCGCGTTTCGAGTGCACGAGGCGAAATTTTCCAACAGATAAAGGTTTATCTATTTTAATCATTAAGAAAATAGCTTTCTATCGCACGCGCCGGTTGAGATAGGTAAGTGTTTTTGATGCGTAAATGTTTCAATTGGATTTTAAATCAAGAATAAAATTGCATTTTCTGCATTGGCGCGCCATCCACACGCAACAGGTGGAAGCGTCAAGGTCTTGCGTCTTTGCAAGAATTGCTTACGGTCGCCACCGGCAGATGGAGCTACCTGTATTATCTCCACCTGTTTAATCCATTTATTCTTTGTGTTTTTCATACAAAAAAAAAACTCAAAATATTTTAATTTTTTTTGATGTTTATTGATAGTTTTCTTTAGAAATTTTATGTTTTTCTTTGTCTGAGGATGATTTAGTGTTTGGGTGGTCTATTACTAAGCTTTTGCGGTTATACTCTTCCACTCCACTCAACTCGAAGCAACAAAACCAGCGAGATCGAGAAGGAATGTCAATGCCGTTCCTCGCGCTGCATCATCTTTTACTTTTTAGCTCGAGATTGAGAGTGAGTCTGCGCGGCAACGTCGCACATTGTGCAACAGTAACATATCTAGGTATCTAGAAGTAGAACTGCGGAACTGGTAGTGGAACTCGTACGAGATGTTCAACATAAACGTAAAACTAGATAATTGTTACATTACATAATCTTGAAAGTCACTTAATACCTTTTTTTTATATTTTCGGTTTTATTTTTATTTATACCTGCGTAGGTTTAATCAAGAGAAGAAGGAGAAAATTATCTTTGAGTCATCTTTCCAGTAACGGTTTATTAGGGACCTGAAAAAAGGTTTGTGGTTTAAAAAACGCACTTGACTTAACTTAAGTCAAGGTCTAAGTTATAGGGTAGATAAAAAATTTATCGTGTGGGTAGTCTAACGGTATTCTAACCAGTTTTTAGGAGTTTTTTTAAGTGACTTAAGTTAAGTCATATTTTTTTGATGTGAGGAATTATTGCGGAAGGTCCGCACCGGATATTATTGCATGCTGAATCATAATTGTGGTGAAATAAATTAAATTCATTCACAGTGATGATTCTTTTTTATTCGTTTTAATCTCAGACTATGAGTTTATGTGGTCGTGACACGGTGCCATTGTTGTAGTCGTAGTAAAATGTAGATTGTAGGAAATTAAGTCGAGCGTGTACACAGCGCAGTCGCGACCGGCTCTCGGCTTGGTTAACCCGACTAACACGAACATATTCATTCGTTCCTCTTTCCCGGTTTTCCTCGTACTCTTCCTTCACATTTGATCACCTTGTGTGCTGTGTGCTTGTACTTTGGACCTGGTTAGATACACGTTACTTTATGTACTTTTCTAAGCTCTTTGTTTATCCATCTGCTGCAAGAGCGCCGGCCATCTTGTAACGAGGACGAGGCATAAAACATTCACTCATGGAAGTGAACGTGAAGAGATGTTGAGATGTTAAGTAAGATTCCACGAGTAAGATTCAAGGTTATGAAGGTCTTAACTCATCAAAAAGAAAAAAAAAAAAATTTTTTCTTCTTAAAAGTTTAAATGTTATCATTTTATGATAAAACATATGTTAAATCTCACAAGGAGGCGGAGCATAATTATTTTTGGGAAGAAAAGTGAAGGAAATTAGTTTTAAAAAGTTTAAATTTGCGCGTTTTTATTGATTTTTAGGAAAGCCAATGTTAAATCCCATAAGGAGGCGGGGCATAAGTTATTTTACTATAAAAAATTGAATATTAAGTTGCATATTTTATCTATAAATAATTTTATCGATAAATTTTATTCATAAGTATTGTTATTATTTAATTATTAGTTAATTTTCATAAACAGACAAAAAATTACGTCAAAACAGTAAAAAAAAAATCATAAAATCCAAAATTTTATTATTATTATCTTTGGATATAAATTGCGGAGCGTGCAACATCGATTCGAATCGTCTTTCACTTTTCGTTTTGTTATGTTACACAAAGCACGCTGGCATGTTGAATGCCGTGATTGTTTATAACAATTTCGAGGTGAAGCCGCATCCAAGGTTGTGGCGACGCGCCACGCTTCACAAACAATCATTATGCGCTATTATATGCGCGCAGACAGTCTGGTGCAAGCGCATTAATGTTTCCTCACACTAATTATCCATTTATGCTCCGCCCACCCCGAAGGCGGGGCATATTTTCCGGCGAAAATGACGTAGTTGTGTTTATTTTTTGCGCGATTTCGAGAGGAATAACCTCGAATAATTGAATTTAACGATGAAAGCGCGCAAATATTGACGGCGAAGAATTAATAAGTATAAAAGACGCGCGGAGAAAAAAGTTTCACAGACTTCTTGATTTTCAGGTTTTTAATGAGACACGAAAAATGGAGTTTATTGAGTTTCAAGGATGCAAAATGTAAACGCCCAAGTTTAATATACTTTAAAAGTAATATTTAAATAAATAAATAAACATTATTAATAAAATTATTTATATCTTAGATATGCAACTTTATAAACACATTTTTATAGTGAAAAAATTTAAGCTCCGCCTCCTTATGGGATTTAACATTGGCTTTCCTTAAAAACGATAAAAACACATCGAAAAAAATAATAATTATTAAAAAAATGAATACATTGACATTAAACTTCCAACTATTGTTTAACTTCGTGATTTCAATCGACAAAAAACTATTGTACGATTATTGTAAGTCTCGTCTAGTCCAGTACTCTTGTTTTCAACCTTCCGTGTCGGGGCGTCACGCTCCGCTGGACCGGCACAAGATGGCCGCCGCATACCGCCATTGACGCATTCAATAAAATAAAATAAAATACTTACTCATTTCACAATCACTCACCTACCGATAAGAAAATATAAAATATAAAATATAAAATATAAATTTGCGCAAGGGTATAAGTTTCGCTGACGCTTCACTTTCGACAATAAACCAACCTGTACTTTTATTTTACACCTGTGCGCTTGCGTAATGATTTTATTTCTTCTATTTGTTATTACCAAACATGTGTCGGTAGTTAAAACAATAGTCGTGACACTTTCGACACTGTTAAGCAACATTACCACATACAGTAATTGCTAATAAACCAATAGATGGCGACACACGATAAAAGCAATAAACAATTAAACAATTTCTTCAATATTTGCAAGGTTTGAGTTTTTTTTTTGAGCAAGTAATGTCGGGTAGTGATAGTGATATCATTTTTATTAATATATTAATATTATTGACACAATATCAATAGTATTATCTCTGTGTGTTTTATATTTAATATAAATTCACAATG